CTCCCCTCCTCCTTCCCACCCCAACCCCACCCTCTTTCAACCCCCTCCCCCTTTAACTCCCACAACCACACCTTATTCTTTCTTTTTTCCTTTCTTCATCATGAAGTCGGTCGGTTCCCTCCCGCAGCTGTCACAGAACCCGCTTCAAAAGTTTGATGTAATGATTGGCTATCAGAAGGAGAAAGAAGGAAGAAGGAAGGAAGAGTGGTTTACCGAGAGCTCAGATTTCTTAATTCGCCTACGACACGCGCGTTATTTGATTGTGCGCGTGCATGGTGAACTTGGTTAGGAAAGGACACCCGTAAATTGATACCGGGGCTTATGATATAAGTTTATATGAATAAATGAATATACATGTACAAATGAGGGTGCAGTGGTGGAGCTGTTAGTGCGCTCGTCCCCGAAACGGACTTTTTCCCGCCCCTCCTGCCTACCCAGCAGTAATGTGTACCTAACTTCGAGTTGGGGAAGTAAAGGGGGCGTAAAAAGGAACTGGCCACCCTACCACAATATGCCGAAGGCCCAGTAAGTTGTCTCACTAACAAGGCAATCCCCAATGTCCGGATTGGATGCGGGCACAACGTTTTACATGTATAAATTATATAAACAAACTAGGATTATATGTATAGATTAGAAGGATGAATTGATGATGGAATAAGAAAGAAAGAAAGAAAGAAAGAAAGAAAGAAAGAAAGAAAGAAAGAAAGAAAAAAAGAACAATACCTAAGAGTGTGTTTTTGCTATTTCCAGGACAGCTAACGTCAGTTCTCTGTTAGCTTTGGAAGTTTTGGTAACTGCAGAAACGCCAGGAGCGCGCAGCCAACATCTCGATTTTTGTAATTTTGAATTAAATCTACCACCTTTAAGGGGTGACAGTGATCAAAATTATTTTATTACAGTTTTTAAAAAAGAAACGAAGATCTAAGCTCTATTAAAAGACAAAGAATAGAAGATTTGCGCCACGTGGTAGCGAAAAATGCTAATTTTCGAAAAAGAAATTTTGTCGTTGATACAACTTTACTTACTGTGAACGCTAATTGAAGAAACAATGTTATTTTTATAACATGACCTTCATTTTAGACAACCACATTTTTATATCTTCTCTTGTATTTGAAAAGTCATGAGTTTAAGTTAATATTTTTGGGTTCAATTTTGAGGGGTGGTTGAATAGTATTGATTTAGACCCTTTTCAGGCAAAATAGAATCTACGAGTATATGATGGAAAAGAGAGGGATGCTTTAGTCACCCTGCATGGCGTGTCCAGGCATCCTCATAAAGTTCTCTTTAAACATATTAAACCCAACTTAGAGGGTGACTTAAGGCAAACTACTAGCAGTTATGCAGACCATTGTATACATCAATTCAGAAATATTGTTAATTCATTTTTTAACAAGGATGGAATAGTTCCCTGCATTTCATTCGAAACAAAACCAACTCCAGCCCCCCCCCCCCCCCTTTTCGCCAAAAAAAACAACAACAACAAAACAAAACAAAACAAACAAAATCCAACATTTTTGAAATTTATAAAAGGCATATCATTCTTTTCAAATGAACTAGGATCTGCTACTTCTTTTGAGGAATACTACACCCCTTTGAGATAACAGCAGTCAACACAACGTTTGTGTAAGACCCAGGCACCATCTAGAATGTTGAACGGACTCAAGTTTTTCTCTCCTTACATGAACACAATGGTGTGTTGGCGGCAGTTCCTTCTTTGCATCAAAGACCATTAGAGTGCAGAGTGAAAAGCAGGTTGTATTTAAGAAAACATTTTATTCAGCCCTTTAAAGTATCACAATGAGTATTCCAAACGCAATCTTATTCGTATTCAGACGTTCGCCCAATTTTGAAAGCATAGAGTTAATACGAGCCCGACTCACGACCGAATGAAACACAATATGGCTTTCAAGCTCGTGCGTAAACATTATTATTTTTTTTTACCAACAGTTGGCAAGAGGCAAGAAGAGACTGTTCTCGATTCTCATCGGGATACTACAAAGTAATCGCAGCTACCTGCAATCATTTATTCGGAAAGTTCGACTACTGGAATGACGTCGACGGGGCGGGGACCGACGGCTTCACTCGAGCGTCAGATCGTGTACCGGTATAGGGAAATTTTCGAAATGCGTCTCACTTAGAGGAAGGCTAGACTCGTGTGAGTAACGCGCGCGGCTTTGTGGAAGATCGGGGCACAGCCGGTCTTTTACCCCTGACTGCAAGGACGTATGAGTTGAGGACAGTTGTTTTTTTCATATTCTAATAATGGATACGTCTAAATAGTAGTTGGCTCAAAGGTACGTGCACTCATTTCAAACATAAACTTTTTGATTAAGTAAGCTTTTATTCTAGCACGAATAGGATATTTTAATAGATAATGGAATTAATAAACCATTTACGATTACGTCTTCGCATGATTATGCACATTAGTCCTCCATCAGAGATGATTAGTGAGTGCTTTGCGTGTGCTCTGGTGTTGTTTGCTCCTTCTTTCCTATCAAACCTATGTCATCTATTGTCGTTATATCTCTCTCCTTTTTGTATTTGTTACTCTCTTATAACTTCTCTGATCTTGGTCACTAGTATGACCTTATTGTGTTGCGAGTGCCGTAATGCTCTTACTAAAACTAAACTGAGAGATGATCGTTGGTTCTGTCTTTGACCAATTTCTCAAGAAGACTCCAGGCCAGACCTTGTTTCCTCCTCCCGGTGTCGAGTGTTCTCCAAGTCTGCTCTCTCGGGTCCTCCCTAACCACTTTTTCCTACACGAGGAGTCTGTTGGAAAAACGGGAATAGTCACAAACTGAAAATCGTGAGGGTATCAATTTTGTACATTTGTTGACTCATAACTGTGCTAATTCTGTTCATCTGTTGGTGAACTATTGTTGTTTGATTATTGTTGTTTGATTATTGTTGTTTGATTCCCCATTCGACAAACATAAATATAAAGTTATGAGTCCACAAGCTTTTAAAATTGACGCCCTCACAATGTCCAGTTTGTGACTATGCCCGTCTTTCCCGTGGACTCCGACTCCTCACATGTAGTGGAAATGAGGGCAACTGTTGTAGTAGATAACGACGGCATTTGGGTAATGAATTATCAGGACCCATTATGCTTCATGAACATCAGTATTTCTACATCACTTGACCACTTGATTCCAGAACTGGGCGGGGTCTTCAGAGATGGGTTCTATCTATAACTCCTCAGCCCTCCTCTACAGGGCCCATCTTAAGGTACTCAATACTTGTGGTTTCCACATACTTTTTAATTTTCACTTCTTTGGCATTTTCACCCTAATATATCTTATTACATATATTCAAGCTTTGTATAATGTCTAGATTAAGTGCCTCAAGACCTGAGTTCGAATTCCCGACTTGCTGAATTAGAGTCTTATCGTCTGCGGCACGAAGGCATCTCCTCACTGTCCTCTTTTGCCGCCCCAGGTGAAGTCGAAGCAGTCCACCCCCTACAGGATCTAGATTGTGTGATAAGTAGTCATATTATTATCATATTGATTATGATATTTCTGACACCGTGCAACGCTTATCAACAAACACTTATACATTTGTAATTGTCTTCAGAAAGTGAATAACTTTTATGAGGAAAGAAACAGTTTTTATTTCTTCGAAAAATGTCAGTTGTAAACATTTTTAATATGAAGTTTATTTTTAAAATTTTGCCTAGCATCCATACTTCACTTCTTTAAAAAAAAATTCAAAAGCTTCCGAAATAAACAAAGCAAAAAGGCATACAATCTGACAGACATTCATACACACATACACACACACACACACAC